TTTTTTTGTGTCCTGGCAAGAATCAGGCGATACGATACGTATCACGATACAACAGCAACAATACGATATATTGCGATACTATAGGCTTAACAATATGTTGACAATGCTGTTAGGTGCTCAACATCAGGTTACTAAAATTTGAGGAGAAATAAAACGCCATGAAAAGCAAAATTAAATGAACCAACGCCATAAATATTGGACTCTTAATTAATTTAAAAATATATATGAATATGAATATGATATTCTGAAACGAAATATTGCGATATTTCAGTGTATCGATATTTTCTCACAGCAGTGCTAAAGTATTGCGTGTACTACCAACAGTTCTCCATCACATACATGAATAAGCCAAAAAAAACAAAAACAACTGCATTTCTGCAGATGTTAAAGTTCCAACACACAAGGAGTCCTCGATGATAATAAGTGTAATCAATTCCATAATTAACTGCTTAAATGATTCAACCAATCACCATCAGTGTCAATTACCATTCAAAGCCATCTCCCCCAGATTCCACTGCTGTGATTAGGCAGCTACATGATGGCCAATTACAGTCAGCAGTACACAGCATTCAACACAGGCCTTATTACAATCATACAAAGCCTTCAGATCTCTGAGCGAGAGCATGAAACAAGGGGTGAGATGGAAGGGGAAGGTGGCAGGAGATGGAGCAACAAAGAGGGTGGGGGGGGATGAAAGAATATTTCTCCAGGAGGAGGAGAAGATGTTGGATTCGCTCAGACTGAACAAAGGCGTGGGGCGCTTCAAAAAAGTGTTTTTTCTCCCTCTCTTCTGCCTCAGAGGGAAAATCCACCGTCAAGAAGCAGCAGCAGCAGCAGCAGCAGCAGCAGCAGCAGAACCTCAGTGGCAACTAACTGACTTTAAAGTAGCATCTCAGTGATGTCAACGGTTTCATGTGGAAGCTGGGATTCATCAGTTATTGTTTTGGTTTGATCGTTTCACCCTCCTGTCATCAGTGTGTGATTAATTATTTGATTTTTTTTTTTCACACTTTAAAACAAGACTTAACAGAAGTGATGCAAGGTGAAAATAATGCTGACGTAAATAAACTGCATCACGTGTCACTGAAGCAGATATAACGGTTAAAAATGTAAATTATTTGTATACAAGAACTTTTCTCACAATCCCATCATTTTGCGGCTGCTGTTTCAACACTTCAGCTTTGACTTTTAATTATTGGCCTGAATAATTATTGTAAATTCCCTGTTTCCGTCACTCGTCTTTCCTTCGTTCTCTGGTACCGGCAGCGAGCGGAACCGTTTCAAATTACCGTTGTTTTGGACATGAATTAATTCTCAACTTTACATCCATCCCATTATTTCTCCATCAGGAACTACGTGTGTGGTTAGTGAGGAGTGAACAGACCTCACAATGAATGAAAAATAATGATGTCTTTGCACAAAGGTCACCAGATTGTGTATTTTCAGGTACTGCAGTTATACTCAAAATACTCAAACTGACCTGAGGTGTAAACACTAGTGTGAATTAGTGTGAATGGTTGTTGTTGCCTATGGACCAGTGACAGAACTGGGAAATGGTCCAGGCTGTGACCCCACCCTCATCTGACGACTGCTGGGATTGGCTGCAGCTTTTGCTGCAACTGTGAAATTCATTATGCAGTTAAAAAAAAAAAGAAAGAAAAAACAGAGTTGTTTTTTTGTGATTTAAAAGAAGAAAAAAAAATCTACAAGCTCCAGAAAACAGAAGAGAACTCTTTCATCTTCTGTCACTTAATCCATTTCAGGGTCGTGGGAGGGAGACTGGGAGGGAGGGTGAGAAGAAGGGAGGAAGAGAGGGAGGGCTCTGGCGATTCCCAGCAGTCATCAGACAATGACCAGGTTCAAGTACTCACGCCCACATTCACACCTGTCATCAATTTAATTTGTCCACTTATCCTAGTCCAAGCCCCCACACACACACGGAGAACAGTCAGACTGCATACAGAGCGACCACCAGTTACCCCCCCACTCTGACCCCCCCATCCTTGGAGCTGGAAACCAGTGATGACTGTTAGCTCAGAGCACCAAGCGCCCTCTCGCTGCGATGTACGTGACATGTCACAAAACATTGTTTATATTTAAATAAATCCCAATTACCTCGATTGTCTCTGTGACATTTAGAGTGGTCTGAATCACCAGGATGTTAAACACACACCTGTCATGATACTGTAGGCTGTGTTAAAGAAAAGTCCGACCATCGACAGGAGCCTGGTATCAAACATTCCTTTGTTACCGTACCAGTAATAAAGCCCGGTGTGACAACAGCAGCGTGATGGAGTGGTGGCAGGGGAGGGGTTACGTGTGGACACCCTGAGCTTGTTGTTGAGCCCTGAGCAGCTCCACTTCAGTGGCGGGAGGTTAAGTACCTGGCTCCAGGGCCCTTTCACACTGGCTGCTGAGGGACAGCAGTGTGTGTCACTTTTCCTTTCACTCTGGTTCCCCCACTAGAATACGGATCCAAAACAGCAACGCCGTCGCCAAGTTACTGTAATCCCACTACAATACACAGTTACAAGAAGGCTGACTCTGACTTGGAGGTATGAACATACATACATTAGCTAGCATTAGCCCTGGTGTCACTAACAGGACTGTTGTAGCTAACGTTAGCTTTGGTGACTGTACTAATGCCATCAAATGAACACAGCAACAAGATAAAGAAAACTAATTTTATGAACAGTCCAAAATTCAGATCATGTTTTTGGATAAATCAAAATAATCTCTGAGCCAAAACAAATGAGTTTTCACAAACATTTCAAAAACCATACCAAAGAGGTCCATCAACCCCCACAACCTAGACATATATGTCCACATATAAATATTAAGGTATTGTTCACAGATCTATTAAGGCAACATTCACTGAAAAATGTACCATCAGAACAAAAACACGACCAAGTCCAAGTGCAACAACAATTGGATATTCTTACGTGTAAATGTAACAAAATCTTAAATAAATCAATAAAAGAAATTCCCATGGTCACAACTGTTTTTGTGATGTAATACAATCATATAAATCAGATTCTTTGGCTGGTCAAAAGTGAATTATAAATTACAGATGTTAGCCTGCGTTTCTTTTTCTTTTACAAAGCTTTAATAAGAAGCAGTTTGTGGGGCTTTCTTTCTTTTTTTTTTTTTTTTTTCAAAATGTATGCTAAAGCAAACATTTCAATGTCAGGGAAATTGCTTAACATTGAACTCCCTGCAGGTGACGACCTGCTCTCCTTCAAACCTCCAGCATCACTCAGCTCCTCTCCTGTTAAACGGCCTGAGCACATCGCTCCATCTCTCCATTTGTTCTCGTGTCATCTGCTGAATATAAAGTGACCTGACGGAGGGCTGAGATGGAAAAAGCAATTTAACGTGCTACAGTATGGGAGTCCTTTGCATTGTGAGTTGCAAATCACTTCCTGTATCAGACAATGAAACTGGCGTATGCTGACCTGATAGTTACACCAGGTTAGACAGGCGACGTTGGGTCAGAGCAAATGTGTTAAAGTATGTTTACTAATCACAGCCTTGAAGATACATTTTTAACTACCTACTTGGGAAAATCCAACTTCATAGTGCCCCCAATTGGACAATCAGTGTAATGATTTAACTAAACTCAGTCCTCTCCAGAATTTAAGTTCTGGTGTGGTGTCATTCAGGAACTGCAAACACCCTGACACAAGTACAGATGTTTTTTAGTTGTTTTTTTTTTTTGGTTTTTTTTGACTCATTAAAAAATGTCTGCACTTAAATAGAGGTGGCTGTACCTCAGTGGGTTTATGCAGTGGCTTTACAATTAAAAGGTTGTGGGATCGAATCCTGTTATTATTGTAAGGGAAAACGTTCCCTTTAATTTTACCAAAAAAAAAAATTTAGGAAATTAATTTATTGTGCATTATTAACATTTGTATGACTCATAAAATAAATTAGTTTGAAAGAAAATTATATTTAATATTTCTATAAACAGTAATAAGAATAATATTTGACTATATATTATATATTTTGACCACAGAGCTGCAGCAGGAACAACAGCATTTCTCAATCATGTGATG